GCTCTTTCTCAACTCAAGTTACCAAGCCAATCCAAAACACCCAGCGACGCGTGACCCCCTTGCGAAGTACGTAATCTGTGCTCACGCGCGCAAGAAGCAAATCCTACAGCAAAAACACACAACGGGCAGAACGGCCCCAGTGAAGAACTCTAACCGGTAGAGCGAGCAAAGTCATGGTAAAAGAGGAGAAGGTTGGGGGCGGCGATTTGTCTGAGGCTGATACGAACCTAGCCAAGTCCACCTTTTGCCGCGCTTGCATGTTCCGGCGCTTTTTTTGCTTCTTGTTCCTGGGTGTATTTATCCTTGGAGAACGACATTCCATCGATGGTAAACCTTCTAAAAACAAATGTGGTACACTGCTAAGTTGCAGAGAAGACGCTACAACACAGCACGCCCAGCACCTGCATATTCTCCCACTTCTGCAGTATGTAATCCATACGTGGGGGAGCAGGCACCTCCAACGCCGCGCCCAGACCTAGCTGCCACCCCGCCCCCATCGTGTGGTGGTCCAACGCACAGACCCCAATTCATCCCAACTCGTTTAAAAAAATAGAGGAACTCTTCCACGACAACAACCACCACGAAAACGACAACGCGAAAGGGCAAAAAAAGAATATGCTGATAAGAGTGGGATTCGAACCCACGCAGATTTCTCTACTAGCACCTGAAGCTAGCGCCTTAGACCGCTCGGCCATCTTACCGGAGAGTGATAGATGGTGTATTTGAAAATTGGGTTGAATATGTATTGAGTTTTGCGCGCTTAGAAAGACATTTTAAGCCACTAGAGAGCATATGAGATACAATTCGGAAAGTTGGGATCCTGCTGCTCTGGACTGGAAATATTTTTCATCTGTTTAAGTGGGGTACATGGCACTTGAAGATGAATTCTCTACTAGTCAGCCGCATGTCCGAGTGGAGCGCGGAATGAGGGACCAAAGGATCATGCAAAGGGTTTATTTGATAGGCTGCTTGCTTGAATAGGGGGTCTGATCAAGATGTTGAGTCAGGGACGGGCAGTGTGTGGAACTGGTGGGTACTAATGAAGTTCTGTGCTGGGGGATAGCCAGTTGGGATGGGCCTTTCCAGTCCCTTCCTAAGAAGCACCTACTTCGAACCTTGGTATGCTGCTTTCAGAGAGCCATGGCTGACGTGTATAATGGCATATTTTTGTGGTGCTGAGTACGAGTAAGTGTCTATTAAATTTCATGTTCTTCTACTCAATGAAGATGGAAGCAGATGTCCAGCAAAGTGTGTAATTTTTTTATCAACTACTCACCACTCTAGGCGCCACAGAGGGAGCAGCTCATATCTATTGATTTAGGAAATGAGCGCATCAATCTAGACCTCCCAGTTGCAATGTTTTTTGAAGACGAATCTAACACAAACCTTGAACCCAGACACCTGGATTCAACCCATCACTCTAGGATTTTACAGGCATTAGTGACTAAAAAGCCCAGAAAGCTCATTCGTGAAGATTCTAAAGAATGGCGAAGATGCCGATAGCCGCACTAGTGCTGAATGTTTTATCATAATCCTGTGCAGTCCGACAATATGAGGGATGGACTGGATTGGCGGGCAGTTGTGAGTGGGGCAAGTTTTGCCGACTACACGTACATCGTGACGACTTTTTCAGACGCGTCTTGAAGACAGCATGCTCATTCTACTAGTTCACTTTTATGGGGCGCGTATTCGGTTCACAACATCACAATGCTAGTCACATGAACTTTTTCCGTCAAATCACAAGTGAAGTGGCCTAGCATGATGTCAGCCAATCGTTTGATAGATAAATAGATGACATGTACTCACAACAGTCATGTCAATGCCCGACCTGGCTCGTGGAGAGCCAGGTCGGTGAGCTCGTATTGTAATTCCTGATACAAGGCTGCTGGCGACCTGTACTGTCGAGCGGCTTCCAAGATGATGCATCCAAGCCTCCATATCGCTGTATAAGGTGTCCCCAAGGTGGGGTATCAATACGCAAAGCTGGCTCCATAAAAGACTACTCGTCGTCCATGTCGTCGCGACCCGGACTCCTGCTCCTTGCCCTCGCCGCACCACGCCCGCTCTGTCTCCTGTCATGGTCGCGCGCACGGCCCTTGCTGGCTGGTGGTGGTCGTACAAAAGCATAGTCGACGGTGACCTTTTGCTCGAGAAGCTCCTCGCCGTTGGCCCCCTTTATGGCCGCCTTTGCTTCGTCCAATGTGGCGTATTCGATCAGTGCGTAGCCCTGTTCAGCATTAGCCATGACACGGTGGTCCTTGGACAGGCTCAGGCGCGTACCTTGACATAACCCGTGCGACGGTCGAGGTTCATGTGCAAGTTCTTAACAGTGCCAAATTCGCCAAACATGTCCTGGAGATCCTCCTCAGTCGCCTCCTCGTGGACATTGGTGACAATGATGATCCAGCCCTCGATGGAGCGCACAGCTGTTGCGCCCGCTGCTGTCTGCGCGTCGCTGGCCTTGGGGTCGGCAGCCGGCACGTCTTGCTGCTCTGGCTGATCGATGTCCATTTTGGCGTCTTCTTCCATGGCTGCGGTGTGTGGTTGGCTGAAGATTGCTTGATTGGTGGAGAGTGGGTGACTGTGGATGCTGCAGCTTTCCCATCGCCAAAAGCTGCCCTGGCCGAGCGGCTCGCGCTAGTCAACCTGCGCCGGTGGTTTCTCTTGCCCGCCGCGAACTCAACGCCCAGCATTGCCAACTGCCCTCCAATGCCCGGAACCGGGAAGGTACCAGAATTCCCAACGCCTGCTTGCTTCCTGCATTCAAAATGATTATTGTATCCACTTGTCCGAGCCCTGCCGGAGCGCCTATAATAAGAGGGCCGCCCGTCCTCCACTTGACTATCACTTGAGCTACCAACCCCACCGACGTCACTGTTGTCGTTACGTGACAGAAGAATTGAAACGCCCCAATCTCACCATGCTGCAATTTCTCGACAAATACGTGCACTATCAAGACCCGAGTCTTCCAAGCTTCTCTTCTTTGACCACTCTGTACTTTATCATCCTCGCCTCTTCGCTGCTCATTTCCCTGCGTTCGTCACAACTAGAGGAAGAGAGAGCACGCTAGCTACCATGTCGCAATTCACACATGTTTGTATACCAACTCCCACTGAGCTTGCCTTAACTGATTCAAAAAGATTGCTATGATCGGTTGTGGCAGTATGGGTGGTGGTATGGCCATGCTCTTCGCTGAGATTGGAGTCCATGTCTCCCTCTCGGACCCTTCGGAGGAGACCATGGATGCTGTCATGCAAAAGGCAGAAAAGCAAGGCTATCATGGAAAAGTAGACAAGTACACAGGTCCGCTGTCTCGCCTAACATCTCCACGGCGCGAAACTGACAAATGCAGACTACAACTCGCTCTGCAAGTCACTGTCATCACCACGCCTGCTTGTCTTCTCTCTTCCACATGGCGGCGTTGGTGACAAGGTCCTTGAGGGCCTGGAGCCCCACCTCTCTCACGGTGACATCATACTGGACTGTGGCAATGAGCAATTTGAAAATACAGAACGCAGGCAAGACAAGTGCAAGGGCACTGGCATCCGCTACATTGGCTGTGGCGTCAGTGGTGGCTACCAAGCTGCGAGGGCCGGGCCCTCAATGTGTCCCGGTGGTGACATTTCCGCACTCAACGAAGTTCTCCCCCTTCTGCAAAAGGTTGCAGCCAAAGACAAAAACGGACAGCCATGTGTTGGTATCATTGGCAAGGGCGGTGCCGGACACTATGTCAAGATGATGCACAACGGCATTGAGCATGGCATGATGAGTGCAATCTCCGAGGCCTGGGGCATCATGAGAAAAATGGGTATGGGTGATGAGGAGATTGGCGATGTGCTTGCACAATGGAACTCGGAAGGCGAGCTGGTGGGTTTTAGTTTTACGACTTCTTCGTGTCGCACGCTGACAACACATATAGAGAGGTACCTTCCTTGTTTCCATTGGCGCAGACTTATCGCACAAACGAGATGAAGGACGTCTCGTGATCTCCCAAGTCCTTGACAAGGTTGTCCAAGATGTGACTGGCGAAGAAGGCACCGGTGTATGGAGCAATACCGAGGCCATCGACCTACACGTTTCAGCTCCTACCCTTAATGTCTCCCACGCATTCCGCCTAGCATCTGCATTCCGTGGCGATCGTGAAAAGGCGAACAAAACACTCGATGGTGGATTCCCGCCCAATGAACTTACCGTCTCTGACAAGAAAGCCTTTATCGAAGACTTACGGCAAGCGACCTACGCAGCTTGCCTCGCCAGTTACATTCAAGGAATCAATGTCATTGCCACTGCAGACCGAGCACATGAATGGGAGATTGACTACTCGCAAGTCTGGCAGATTTGGCGTGCTGGTTGCATCATTCAAGCAGATTACATTTCCGATGAGATTCTGGCCCCTGTGTTGAAGTCGAAGCCATCTTCTGAGGATCTGAATTTCAACTTCTCTTCTCGCGTTGCCAAAGATGTTAAGAAATGCTTCCCGGCACTTCGGCGAGTCGTGGCCAAGTCGGTCGAGACGGATCAGGTGGTCCCTGCTATCGGCGCAACGTTAGAGTATTTCAAAGTTGTCAGCGGAACTGATCTGCCCACTTCATTCTACGAGGCTGAGCTCGACTACTTTGGTAGCCACATGTTTGACAAGAAGGATGATACAGATCCAAACGTCAAGAAGCCCGTGGAAGGCAAGCATCACTTTGAGTGGAAGCCTACAATGAGCCAGAAGGAGCAGTATGGGAAGAACTATTCGTTGTGAGGTGGCATGGCTACGACTTGTACTTGCAAAAAAATGTTACAAGGCAGTTTATAGAAGATAGAAACTTCAATCTAATGACATAATCACGACCAAAGGCAAGTATAAACAATATCTCAATTTTGGTGTCTGTGACATCGTGAACTGATTCCCTCAAGGCAAAGACATTAAGAACCATCATATTCACAATTTATTTTCTTTCTATGATTATTTACACCGCTACCATCTTCTCTCTTTCTATCTATCCCACACCCTAAGGCGCCACAAGAAACCCCGTGCTCGACACCAACTTATCACTAACCTTATCCCCAACATCCACCGTAACATTAAACGTCGTAAACCCCACATTCCCAACAAACGACCCCACCGTAAACACCGCCGCCACAATCTCAATCTTCTTCTGCTTATCAAACAGCTGAATATGATCCGGCGCCGTCGTCCTCAGCTTCACCGGCGCCTGCTTGGGTTCGGGGGTAGGTGGTAAATGGTTGCGTATTGCCCTACGCTGTTGATGCTGCCAGGGGGATTGTTGTAGCCCCATGTTACGGCGACATCGGTCCAGAGGTTTGACGAGTCGAACCTTTCGTCGAAGGTTATGGTGTAGGGTTTGTTGGGGGCGATGGTGGCGGGGACGGTGATGCCAGAGATGAAGGCGGAGGTTGTGGAGAGGGTGGTTAGGGCGAGGGTGATGGGGGTGAGACGCATTTTGAAAGTTTGTGAGAGGGAGATTAGATGTTGGCGTTTTTTTTTGAGGGTTGGGTTTAGAAAGAGAGGGATGGTTGGATGGGTGAGCGTGGATGGAGTTCTGTTGTATAAGATGGTGTGTTGTCTTTATGTAGTTTTTACCATTTTCTTCCCGCTTCTCATGTCAAGCTTCTAGACTCTATACCTCTTGACATGTCATCCTTCTCCGCCAGCCAGGTCCGTGTACAGTATGACTTTTCAATGTGAGATCGTTAACGGCATGCAAACGTGACCGAGACATCACCCGCCAACCCGTTTCCTCTTAGCTCGACCCTAGTAACCGAAACTCTGTCATGAGGAGCTTGTTGAATATTGGTGTCTGACCCAGAATGGGTGACCGCTAGTGTAATCATAGGTGGCGGGAGGTATGTCACTGCGTTGGTTGCTTACGGTTAATTTCCATGACAAACTTAACCAGCCGTCTTTTTTGCATTTTCTCACCGCATATGCTCCACGCGCTGGATTTCTATTACTTCTAGAAAATAAAGCTTAATTCTCTCGGTATAGCTGCGGTGAGCTTTGCTCCGCGTTTAGTACAACATTCAGATGCTTGTTACCACCATTCTCAGCGTTGCAGACTGGTGCTGTGATCACAGCTTTGAAGGCGATTATAGAGTTATACTAAATGTCTTTTGTAACTCTCAGAGGAAAAAATCTAATAGTACGCGGATAATAGATACGTGTGACTAGCGGTCTCGGAAGGGGGACAGGGATGAAGTACGGGAAATGCCGTTTGCGCACGTTTACGGTATTGGAATTATAATTAGTCACTTCTATTTTGGGGTTAGCATGGAATTTAAAAGGGGAAAGTGCTTATATGAGGCTATTAACGTTTATTTCGACCGTAGAGCGAACGGCATAGCGGACATGTTATAAGTTGGGTCCGTGGATGTAAGTGAGTGCTTCGGGAAACATGGAATGGGGACTAAGGGAAGGAGTACTTGAGAAAAGTGGTCGAAGCACGTTCATCGTTTGAGTTGAAGATAAAGGATGAGGAGATCTTTGAAGACATAATCTGATGATAATCTCTTAGTCCCAAGTTCTCAAAATGAACACAATGTTAGGGCCGGAATATACTGTTCTTATTATACCGTCTTGCTACTTATCTTCTTATGAGTACCAGTTGTCATGAGGTGGGAAACAAGACACAATGAACAAGGGAAAGCTGACTCGGAAGAGAAGATGAGTTATCGGTATGCTGGAAGTGGAACATCGGATCTTGGGAGATACCGAAAGTGTCTGGAAATGTAACTAGACATACGTGATTGAGGAAGGAGCAGGCTTCGATGCCTACTACCACCCAGAACCAAACGCTCTAATTCTGTTACCGTACCTAGCAAGTTCACTGATGGCTCCCAGTTTGGTACGAAGGGTTATGGAAATGAGAAAGACTGGCATATGGGATGGCCGACTCCTAGCTGTGATCATGCAGTACAAGTTTCCCCCAATAGGCGTCTTTTTCGCTAGGTTTAGCTTATTATTAGGGGGTCTGCGATCAAGGTATGTTTGCCTCCTTTTAGTGTCAGGCTACAATAACAAAGAGTATGCATAAGCGATTATGCATACCCGCCGTTTAGTGTACCTCAACTTATTCTTTACAATTTACCTAGTCACTACTATCTCTTTTAAGGAAACGAGGTTGATTGTAAAATTTGTTAAAATAGTAAATTACCATATCGGAATGAGGGATTCTAACATCTTCGCCCTAGAAGATAAGATTTTGCAAATAGCAAAATCAATAATGCTAAAAGGAGATAGATTTTTCGATCATAATTTTCTTGTCAAAAACGTGTGAGACAGAACTTTATCTTCAAATCCATGTGATTGGCTTCGTTAACTTAGGGGACCAGAAGATTACGTCTTGCGGCCGATGGTTCTGTGAACAGATAAGTAAAATTCAGACGTGGCCGCCTTCCTCTTGTTTCTCTAGCCAAAGAAAAAAATACTAGCAACCTTCATCTTCCTTCTTCCTCCCAGCATCACTAACACCCTTACTTCTTAAAAAGAAAGATCTAAACAAAAACTCACCATCCCCACCATGCCCCCGTTACCCAACACAATCTCTCTACACAGCAATCTCAATTCCTCACCACCCACCATATCCTTCAGTTTTGAAATCCTCCCCGCCCCCCAAATCACCTCCCACATACTCTCCCAATGCGCCACCATCTTCTCCTCCGCCTACGGCATCTGGGGCCCTCACGCCGAACAAAGAATAGGCAAACACTGCAAACACGGTAAGCGAATCCGGCTATCCGTCAAGCGTCTCCGGTCGCAGTCTTTAGCCCCGTGCACTAATAGCGTGCTCGTTCGCGGCATGTATGGCGATGAGCTTGCTGGGTATGCATTTGCGACGCGCTGGATGTACGAGGGGAGGAGAGTTTGCTGGGTTACGCAGCTTTGTGTGAAGGTTGAGTATCGGAGGAGGGGGCTTGCGACGGAGGTAAGTGTTTTTGTTCTATCTACATCACGTGTCGCAGTGAATACCATAAGTGTATTCAGCTGCGAGCTCTGTAGTTGACTGAGGACATCTTTTTGCTGTTGAAGAATTCGATAGGGGCGATGTTGCTGACTTTGTGTAGTTACTACGTCGCCTCCGTGAGGATGAGGACTACGCCTTTGGCATTTTGTCGTCACATCCAGCTGCTATTGTGGCAGGGTTGCGTGCGTGGGGCAAGGGAATTGAGGATGTCGATATGAGCTTTGTAAAGGAACATGGTGCTGGTATCATGGCTGCGTCGCCAGTACAGTACGTAAGAGACGCTAAGTTCAGGGGCAGTATCTTCGGCAGTGTAGACGATGGTGCAGTGTGTTGTGCGGACACGGATTTTTGGGTCGATCACGCTGAACCTTTGGCTATATTGGCTGATGTTAAGAAGATATTTGCTTGGCCATTTGGAAACCTACCTGAAGGATGCGAGTTTTTGGCTCTGATTAGGATTGTTTGAAGGTCGAAGGCAGTTATATCCAGTTGTCCTACCCAATCTCATGACATACTATCATCAACCATTCTAGTTCGAATTATGATCGCCAGCATGGGCGATATTCGGCCCTTTCCAATGACACAAACGTATAGAATGATCTGCTTCCAAAATAAACAATCGCCAAGGCGGATGCAGACGGAATGGAACGAGGGCTCTTGAAATGAACAAGGATCAATGTTATCATCTGACTCAATCATCTTGAAGGTCTAGAACTTGCGTTCGTGAGAGATGGAATTTCATGATGTTGACACTACATCTACTACATTCTCATCTTGATCAAGCCGGAATTACGGCATGAATAAACCTCAATAGCCTCAATATCAAAACCCTCATCTTCTCATTACATTACTTGCGAAGCTCAGATTGAGTCTTCTGGTCCTCGAATTCTGTCATATCGTTAGCAAAGCATAACACCAGGTATATATTTCAATTACTCACCCTCGAGCCAATCCACAACAAAATTCTTCAAAAACTGCTGCGCATACACAACCTGTGGCGGCGGCAAATCAGGCGTAGTCTGATTCTCAAAGATACCGTTCTCTTCCCAATGATGCACGCCATGGCTAATAAGCAACCACGGCTCATCAGTGGAGGTTTTGCGGCTATCCGGGTACCACAATGGGGTTGCAGGCCTCCAGGGATCGGCGTTTCCACCGATAATAGCGAGGCGCTCGTATGCAATGTCGAACCCGCCGTATTTATTGACGCGCTCAACATCTGGAGGGGTCTCGATGCCGAATTGTGCGCGGCAGAAGAAGGTGAGATATTCGAGGTCGAGGGTGCGCGAGATCAAGGGCATGATGTCCTTGGGTGTGTTGCCGGTTTGGATGTAGCCCCATTCGGTGCAGACTTGGTAGTTCCAGCTTACATAAGGGTAGTCTTCGAGCGAACTGGCTGACTGGAGGGCGGTCGTGTTGGTTGTCGTAAAGAATTGGTCTTGGGACACGTCTGATTCGCGCCAGTTTGCAACTGCGGTGCGGTTGAGCCAGGCAATGGCGTTGAGGGTTATGTCCTGAACTGCTGTGTCGTTGGGGTAGCCAGCTGCTGAGACGAGCTTAGCAACTTCTGGACGCAGATTTTCGGCAACAGGCTCCTCGTTGGTGATGTTCTGGCAGTAGTTGAAGAACGAGGGAGAATTCTCCTCAGGATCCCAGCTTGTGCTTTGGAGACCGTAGACACCAGTGAGCTGGTTTGCGAAGTCGCGGTTATCCGTAATACGGCCTAGGCCAAAGACATTCTTGAGCGATTGGACCAAGGAAGTATCGTTTTGGCGCAACAGGATGCCGTCGACCACATCGATCAAGAGTTGAGTGTTCTTGATACAGTCCGGAGGTCCGTAAAGCCTGGCGGGCTCAAAGTACTCCCAGTAGTCATAGATGGCTTTGGTGACACCTGATGACGAGATTGCTCCCCAGAAGGTCTCTGGGTAGACTACGCGCAGGAACGCAGCTTGCGCTCCGGCATAAGATCCACCGTAGACAACCCAGGGGGTGTTTGGAGCTGTCAGATCCGCATCGATTCCATCAAACTTGACGTTCCTCGCAAAGTAGTCAATCTCAGCAAGAGATTGCTCCGTTGTCAAGAAGCGCATGTTCTTGGTGCTAAGATCCGGAACAGGGAAACTCTTTCCATAGTAACGGTGTTCCAGGATGACGCCTAGACCATTAGTAGCCTTGATGACCTGATGTACAATTCCCTTTTGGAGGAAAGGTAGGCGACCCACTCCACTGGTTTCTCCGCTGAGAAGGACAAATACAGGGCCGCCTGGCTTGTAGTAGGTGTCATCGAACCAGTATCTCAAGTTGAAAGATGCATTGCTGTGCGGCTCGTAACGAGTCTCGTTGTGGAAGAAGTCAACTGGTACAGACAAGTTACGTTCCGGGTATAGCAGGGACGGGTCGGTGTCCTCGCGTTTTGCAAGACTGCGACGAGTCTGTGCTTGGAACTAATTATCCTGTCAGATTCACCGGTCCAATATATTTAGCATCGTGCCATTGTGCGTCGACTTTGTTTCGCTCGAATTTCGCCGAGTAAGCACCAGATGACGATAGTATGAAAATTAACTCCTCGTCGCAGCTAGGAAGAGGACAATAGACTGATGACTAGCTCTCGTCTGAACTTTGGGCTACACAAACAATAGAAAAGTTGGCTTACCTCCTGCTCCCTGTCCGCAATATTTCTTGGTGAGAGCCTGAGCGCAGAAACAGCCTGTAGGCTGGAAAGGACCGCTGCGACTGCAATTGAGAGACGCATGGTGTGAATGCGTTGGTCGCCAACTTGGAGCGAAGAACGGGCACGACTGCGCTTTTTATATAGTGTAATCGCACACGAACGAAGACCGAGCTTCAACAGCTATGATAACTATCCGCCCCTGCCCATACATATCAGAGACTGGCGAATTGGCCATGATTCAGGAAGGTGGTTAAAGTAGTGTGCCATCGCTAGCGCAAGGTCGATGCTCGAACAAGCAGGAGAAACGGTGATCGGCAGATGTGGAGCCGTGGGCCGTGGCGCACCGCAAGCTTTATGGGTTGGCTGCTTAAAAGTACCTCAAAAGCGTTAATAAAGGATCCTGTTGGTGCCAATACGCGGAACAGTGCGCAAGCGGCGTGCAACCGTCAGTTGCACATGACGTGGTGGCGATGCCGCGAGGTTGGTGTTGCAACCAGTCGACGCCCCACCTTCACCTTGGCTATCCAGGACTAGCTCGCTTGATTCGCTGAACCCCGATAACACCCCTAATATCATCCAAATATTAAGTGCTTTCCGGACATTGGTCGAGCAATTCATATCAAGAAGAAGTTCTCCAAGCTGTCATCCTGCAAACTTCCGTCTTGGTACATTAGCCCGTCCACGAAAGCCTCGCCTACGAGCTTGTGATACGTAACAGCGGGAATCTTTGCCGAACGCCTGTTGACGCAGTGTCGCAGTAAGAAGGGTGTCTTTCCGCCCAAGAGAACAGCCACGGTATCTCCTTTCTTCATATCCCATGGACCCAAGCCAAATCTTCCATCTTCAGTAACAAAGAATCGGCGGCAGATACAGGCATTGTACACCGCGAGCCTATAATCTCTATCTTCATCGTCACGTGGATATTCCTGCAGGGGCTTAATTCTTTTTCTCCAGTCCATAGGTTCAATCTGCCAGCAATCCGCAGTGACTGTGCGATTGAAGGATTCTCTCATAGCAGATGTTTCTGCATGCCCTAGCTCCTTACTAGCGACAAACTCCCAGCTGCGCAAAACCTGGTCCCAATCAATTTTTTGCTAGGGTCCTCTTACGGGAACGATTCTAGTTCTTGCTACAACGTTAATCTTGTAACCTGCGACTGCCAGAATACGATGCTCTAGATCAATTACGAAGTGTGGGGGATCGCGTCCCGATGCCGAGAACGGTTTGGATGATTCAAGATCTAGCAATCTCTTGGCCTTCAAAATAAACGGATAATCATAGCTGAGTCGCCAATCTCGACACCAACTCGCATTGTGAAGTTGCGCCCCAGGAGCATAACTGAGTATGTCCAGGTTTCTCATGTGGACTAGACAAGACTCGGTAAACTGCAGGAAGACTTCATCCGGCGGCTTGCTATAATCAGGCATTATTAGAGATGGGTTATCCGACTGTAGTAAACCAAGCAGGGCGTATATTTTGTCAGATCCAAATGTGGCTAATTGTCGTCGAAAGCGGATGACGAGGTCACCTAGTGCGACGTTGGAATCCTCAGCGTCATTTGCCTCTTCTTTGAGGCTTTGAATATATTTAGTGGATAAAGGGGCCCTGTAATTACTGAACAAGCCGTTTGCGAAGGGGCTGTACGTGAATAGTTTGTGGACAGCTTCCCAATCAACTTGGAAGGGACCACAATGTATGACCACGTGACGCCCAACGACTACCTCTTGAATAACCCAGGCACGACCCCACCAGCCATGCTCAAAGATACGGAGATATTCTGCCCTCATGCTGATCCACGTCGGCTGCATAGTGTGATTATCCCAAAGTGTTTCGATTTCCTCGGTCTTTGCAATCCCGAATTGCTGTACGAACTCGAATAGAGAACCAGTAGCAGGAGCTGCTTCGCCCAACCACACCACCACCCTGGAAGCCTTCGAGTATATGTCTCGCATCATCTGGACTTGGGTGCTCTTCTCTGTATCATCGAGTTGATTGATGCATACAGCATCAACCCAAAGTATTCTTTCATGCTCAGTGCTGCGCAGCTCTTTGAGTGCATTATACAAGTTGTATGAAATGTAAAATGATTTTCCATCGACCCGGATGGTGTATGAACGTAAGCTTACACCCCAAACGTAGCTGAGTGCCTCGAATTCTGAGAACGAAAGAGGTCCCTCAATCAAGTCGCATGTGATCTCTTCTTCGTATCTCCCTGGTCTTAGCCGCAGAACTCGGATACGAGGTGGCCCTTTAGAAATATCGGAATAAACTTGGGCGTTTTTAGCCAGCATTTTGTTCTTTAGCCTTGGGTAGATAATGTCAAAGACTGGATACCGGTAGAACGCGAACGACAGAAAGAAAATCACAAAAAAACATGCAATGAGAAACAAATCTAGTAGATCGGATATCAGCCGAAACCCTATAACCACGACTAGAAGTGCCAGGGCAGGGGGGACCGCTATGGCTGCTAGCATGAACCCAACCGAATAAGCAATGGTAAAGTATGCGTGTTTCTTCGCGATGCATCCGGAAGGAGTGTGTCGGTGAATAGGATCAGTAAAATTCGTAAAGACCAACGATGTGAATAAGGATATCCCCTGTTGCGCGGCAAGAGAAGTAAGGGACAACGTATACAGATTTACGATATGTGATTGAGACCCATAATAGTGCCACCGACGAGCCACGAAACCTGAATCTACTCGTGCATTCATGGGGTACAGGGCCCAAAGTATGCGCGATAGATTTTGAAAAAGGGAGGCCATGACAAGAGGGATGATTGCCTAGAGGCGTGACCCGTAAAGTGCGTTACTGCCATCAGTCATCTTTTTGGATATTTATTGCTTGAATATCACGGAAAACTCACCTGCGTCGCTCGTTACGTCTGGAATTTCAACAGGGTTGTAGGAGAGAAGAGCAAAGAAAGCTGCGAGGCGAACAGCGAGATAAGAGTAGAACACTGACTGCGCCACTTTCGGCCCCCAACTTGGCTGGAGGCGTTACCATGCGCCACTACAGCCTCAGGACGACGACCAAAATACCCTACCAATTTTCTCATTTGACTAGTTGCACAGTATAATGGCCGTACTGGGTAAGTTATCACCTTCCAGAAGGCCTCCAAAAGACCGATTGTCTCCAGTTAGGGAAATCAAAAACTGAGTGGAGGGCTTGCGCTAAGGATAGATATCATCACAAAAGGATCCTGAGCTGAGTAATCTTTCCAGCTTACTATCGCTTTGATCGGTCAAAGTACTTCCTAAGAAGTGTGACAAGGACGCCAAGCTACTTGAACCAATGACTCAGCCCCCTAACGTGCATGATGACTTCGGCTACGCTGTCATAGGCTGGATATCAAAGGATAAACAACATGGACAGAATCTACTCCAGAATCACAAAAAGATAACGAATATGCGTAAATCTCAAGCGGGGAAATTCATACAACATCATCACCATCTACAAAAGCTGTATCAGACCAAGTTTCTCTAAACCCCCACACCCCAACCCACCATCCCCTACTTCGTGACCTGCTCAATCCTCTCCACCGTAACACTCTTCTCCACTCCCCCTCCCTCCATCCCCCTCTCCTTCACATCCGCCAACGCCGCCTCGCCCACATCCACCGCCTCCTCGCCATCAAAGAACTTTGCAATCTCCTCCATGGGCGTATACCTTGTCTCCACAATACAAAAGTAAATAACACCAATCTCGAAAGCCAGAAAAACGCAGTAGCAGATGTAGTAGCGCCACTGAATAGCGTCGAGCGCGATGCCGTTGACGAACTGGTTGAAGAAGAGGGCGGCGGTAACGCAGAAGTTGAGCCAGGTAAAACCTTTTGCGCGGAGGCCGTAGGGGAGGATTTCGGTGGTGTAGCCGGCCATTATGCCGGATTTGATGTCGTAGAAGATGCCGTAGAAGAACTTGTTTCCGGGGCCACATTAATATAGCTTCTTTTTTTCTTGAAAGGGTGTAAAAAACTTACGATGCTGACGATGAAGCCTTTGCCCAGAGGGGCACGGGGCGCTGCGTCGTAGCGCGCGGAAATAATGGTGAAGATGTTGAACATGACAAAGGTTCCGATTGTGGAGATGAGGTAGATGGGGCGACGACCGAGTTTGTCGACGAGGAAGGCGAAGAGGAAGTTTTCGCAGAGGGCGAGGGTTTTCATGCCGCCGTTGATGCCAAGTTGCGTGTGTGGATCTGTGAGGCCGACGTTGTCCATGACGTACTTGAGGTAGTAGGAAATCAAGCCGTTGCCGCTCCACTGGCTAAAGAAGCCGATGGCGGTGATGATGGCGATTCGCTTGCGGTTGCCCTTGGTCTTGAGAAAGTCGGACCAGCTGGTGGCGTTCTGCTGCTTGTCCAAGTCGATAGCTGCACGGACTTCGGCGTATTCGAGTTGGACGAACTCGTCGTTCTCGTCTCCTTCACCATGCCATTTAGAGAAGACTGCGAGGGCTTCTTCGTGGCGGTCTTTGTTGCATAGCCAACGAGGGGATTCGGGCATGAAGGGGACGAAGGCGATGATGATCAGGGAGCAGATTGCCTGGAGAAGGGAGGGTAGGCGCCATGACCAGTCACTCTGTTCTGAATCAGTGATGACACTCTCATAATAATCTCCACAGCAGGGATTGAGTGATGGCGAGAAATGATTTTCTCTCCTGACTTACCTGAATCTGAAGTGTACCATAAGTAACCCAAGACGCAATAAACGCACCAGAGTGGTAGCTCGCACCCGACAGCGTGACCAAAACAGCACGATCCTGGGGATGAGCAATCTCCGCAATAAGCAGCGGAGCTGAGCCGAGCACAATAGTATCTCCAAACCCAAGAATCAATCTAGCAGCAATAAACATGCCAATGTCCTGTGCTCCTGTTTGCAGTCCAACAGCACACAACATGATTGCGCATCCAATCATCACACCAATCTTCCTGCCCTTCCAATCGATAAGGTAAGGCGTGAAGAAGAGACCAATGAGCGAACCAAGCGACATTGAGGCGTTGAAGAAACCAAGCATTGCACCGCGGGGTTCGCCGAAGTAGTCCTGCCAGTAGGAAAGCGATTGGAGACCCTGTCACTCATCAGCATAGATCAGCGTGCAAACGTAGTGTTACCAACATTCATCATACTCCCATCGAAACCATTCGCCGTATTGGTCAAGATAAGAATAACAATGTAGATGTACAGTCTACGCAGATTCGGTCGCTTCCACCATGGTAGGCGCTCAAAAGCACGACCAGCGAAGAAAAAATGGCCCTTTGGCGGTTTGACAGGTACGACTTTCTGGGTAGTCTTTGGCGGGCGAAGAGAAAAGCCCATGATGGATAGTTTGATATCGAATGTTCGCTGAAGAATGCAGTGTAACAGCCAGCGCCTGCCCCGATGAAGAAACAACAAAGGGTAAAAAATCTCGTTGGCCACTGCATTTATATACTTTTTCCACATCCCAGGGCACATGCAACGCCAGGAGGCATACTACCGCAGGTTGCTCGCGTGAGGTCCCAAGCGCACGGTATCTAACCGGGGCAAACCTTCCTTGGGAGGAGCCAAGATGGGTGAATTGAACTACATTTGCCTGGCCTTGTCCCGCAAGTCAAGCACTGCCTTCTCGGATTCTGGTGTAGAGCGAGTCCATACCAAGGCACTGCGGTCTTGATGATTCTGGGCGCCAGCGTCCGTCGGGGCTGGGATGGATTGGGGGAGTCCTGGGGCGTAGACGACTAAGCCCAAACCTGAATGCGGGGTGAAGCTAAGCAAGGGCGCGAGTGACCCCATGGGGCACAACAGGCTAAAGATCGTCACAGACGTTGTCTTTTGCTTTCGTGTGGTTGAGATGGAGACGTGCAGTTTGACCTTATCCCGCGCTGGCTGCTATTGGCTATGGAGTGGCGTGGGCCGAAGCGATACTGGAAGTGTTTTAGTGTCGCGGTGTGTGATTCGACGTTCATCGTCGGTACATTGACAGCCGAGCAAGCTTTCAGTACAGCCTCGAGTTGGACGCCAGCCAACGCTACCAAGAGGCGCGCCTAGACACTACAGTCTTGGGATACCGTGCTGGGCCATAGGCGCGTCTAATCTGATCCTTTCGCCTGGGAGGACTATTTCAGCTGTCTTCTGCATACCACTTTATCGCTGCGATATATATTGCAGATCATGTTCGTTGGACCTATGATACCCGTTTGTTACACACGGCACGCTTGCATTGAAGCGGGATGGACCTGGTTAGCCGTTTAAGTCTTTGTGACCCAAAGTAAGCGGTCGACACAGTAGTAAAATAGGGTTGAGTGACTTGTTTCGGACACGATCCCTGGCTACATCATTGGGCTGAGATGTCACATGACGTTAAGGTTTGACAGTCGTTGTCGAGACGGCAGAGAACAAGACGGATATGGCATTCCTTCATGCGCCTCTTTTATGCATTTACCCGGCAAAATACCCGATGCACTAGGAAAGCAACATCAGACTACACATGATGATTCGCACACAGGACAAAGACGAGTCCATGATACCACCCCTCAAGAAAAGTCTAAATCACTCGACCAGCTCACAAGGTTTCTTTGATCAGCCACACAGCACTACAATGAGCACCGACTCGCCCATCAACCCAATCATACCGGGCTTTGCCCCGGACCCATCTCTCATCCTAGTCGACGACACGTATTTTCTGGTAAACTCGACCTTCCACCTCTTCCCCGGCCTTCCAATCTATACCTCGCGTGACCTCGTCCATTGGCACCAAATCGGCAATGCCATCAACAGATCCTCACAACTCAGCTTCGCCAAAGCCCCCACCTTGATCCATGACATTGGCAACAACGACCATTTGTACGCCACTGGCGGCTTGTACGCACCCACGCTCCGCCACCACAACAGCACATTCTACATTGTCTGCACCAATGTCGTAAACTACAGCACAGATTCCGCCCAAGAAAGCGAGACGCAGAACTTCATCATTTCCACCACCGACATCTATGCTTCGGCCTGGAGCGACCCCATCTACTTTGACTTCAACGGCATAGACCCTAGTCTCTTCTTCGACCCCCAAACAGGAAAAGCCTATCTCTGCGGCTCGAAATCGCCAGGGCCCTCGACAAAAATCACTCTCTTCGAAATCAACGTGACTACAGGTGAGAAACTGACAAAGGAAAAATATCTCTGGCACGGTACGGGAGGCATATACCCCGAGGGCCCACACATCTACTTCCACAATGGCTTCTACTATCTGATGATAGCCGAGGGCGGCACGCATGAAGGCCACGCTGTAACCATGGCACGCAGCAAGAATCTGCTGGATGGGCCCTGGGAGCCTAGTCCGCTAAACCCCATACTGAGCGCTGCAAACACGGACGAGTACGTCCAGTGTACGGGCCACTGCGAGGCGTTTGCCGCCAAGGACGGACAGTGGTGGGGCGTCTGCCTCGGGATCCGCATGCGCGAAAAGGAATTCTACGGGCTGGGCCGCGAGACGTTTCTCACGCGGGGATCCTGGAGTGCGGATGGGTGGCTCAAGTTTGAGCGCGCGACCATGCAACTGAGTATTCCTGGTGTGAGTGTTGATGCGAGGAAGAAGCTGAGTGCAGTGCCTGGAACAGATTATGTGTATATTCATGATCCTGAGCTGCGAGATTACGACTTTGATCCTACAGGTCGAAGTGTGGTGGTAAAGGCTTCGCCGTATGATTTGACTGCACCGAATGGGTCGCCTTCGTTTCTGGGTAAGCGCCAGTGTTGTATCGAGGGGAGAAGTAGAGCCACATTTGTTGTGAGTTCTCTCGATGAAGACGCGCACGTTACTGCAGGCCTAGCGGTGTACAAAGATGAACATCGCTTCTTTTCAGTTTCTTATAGCACAGATCAATCGCCGCCGGAACTTTCCCTCCGCGTCTTGAATACGGCTAAGAAGATAGATCGGAAACACACTTTCGATTTGCCGATGCGGCCCGAGTCCTTGGAATTCGTCGTCGAATATACGGAGATGCAGTACGAAGTCTCATACAAACTGCATGCTGCGGGAGAGAGCAACAAAGTAGCGAGTGTAAATGCAAAGGACCTTACTGGCAAAGACTTCGTAGGGCCTATTTTCGGGGTTTTTGCCATTGGACATGAAAGGACAGAGGTCAAGTTTGAGCGGTTCCAGGTAGATTCGGCGTGATGTTGGAATGCGAATAAGTCACATGTATGGCCTTGGGGCGTTGGGGGAATACGAAACACAAGGATTGTCTTGCTGGACGGAGATGTCGTGACTCATGATCTTTCGGTATTGCGTATTATCTTCTACTTCATCTTAACGACTGGCGTCTGCCGTAGCCAAAACTTGCACCATGATTCTTCTTCTTCTTCTTCTTCTTCTTCTTCTTGGGCGTAGATCATTCCCCGGTGTGTTGGTATAAAACTTTTGAAGTCGTCATTCCCCGACCTTGCGAAACGCCATATTCTCTAATAAGCGGACGATGTGGGTATAATGCTGAGAAAGGCAATTGGACAGGTGTGAATCTTAAGGTGTAATCCTTGTTCAATCCCGCGTAATGGTAAAGTCTTTGGACACCTGGATGGCATCAAACGGCATGGGATCTGCCGTGAGTTTCCTCTCTGAACTCGCATCGTCGCCGGTGACGGTGGCATTTACAGTATCCTTGTCATGCTTCAAGTCATTAGCCTCTGTACTACTCTCGTCTTGCATGCGGAAATATGCAAATGCGGTCCAACTTACCAACTCCATCCACTGTGTATAGTGACCCGGTCGCTGTTGTTGCGACCCACCCAACCCTCCAGTGGTTGATCTCTTGGGCCCACTCTTGAGACCGCTACTGCTCATCGAGGAGCTCTTGTAATGCGAGCGCCATCGCAGATAGAAGGGTCGTAGCATGGGAATGTTGATACACAGACTAGCCAGCATCAACTCGACAGTGCACAACATGAACGTAGTACCCGAAGTTCCCGTGAGGTTGCCAATGAGATCTGAAATCTATCAGTATACCATGTTGCAGGGGAAAAACAAATCTAGAACTTACCGATTGTGTAAATGAGCACAAAGCGAGCAACACCAATGAATACGCAAGCCAAGCCAAGCCCGAAACAAGCCAACACAGCGAACTTCTCAGTCTTTCGCATTTGCAGCTGCCAAACAGCTCGGATTGGTAGCGCTACAATCATGAGATCTGTTATCATGTTTGTTATGATCAGAAACTTGAGCAAAAGCATCTGGTCCAGGCAGTGTCCGACTCGTTCTATAGTCCATTGCTGGGAAATGGGGTCGCAGAGAAACAAGAAGACGAAGTTAAAGATGATGGCCCAGGCTACTACGATACCACCAACAATGTATACCGCAATACGAAGTTGGAGCGAGAACACGCGGTGGTAGAGCGCAAGTTGAGAGAGCTTGAGAGCGGCCAAGCACCAAATGTATATCAATGTATAGGCGAAGGTAAGCTGCATGATATGTGGAAGGTTGTTCATGACTGTATTTTGCGATTAGCTAATGTGTTGAAATATTCGTGTCGCATTCAACTCACGCTTGGGAAACATTTCCGAGTTGTTTGGGTCGAAATCATAGCCCACACCACTGGTAAAGACTAGATAGTGTGTCAGTCATACCGTCGATGCCTATTGAACAAGACTTCCTCACCTTCAGCATTGAGACCGATTGTGCTTGTGGTTAAAACCTTGAATCAAGTCAGCCGGAGCTCTAATGGCCATTGCAGACTTGCGGCATACCATCGCGATACTCGCAAAGATGTCATCCAGTGACAATCCGGGTCCTTTTACGCGCCCATAGATGCGAAAAACAACTGTTGACGCAGCGAGCAACCACAAACACGACATTGCTATCATCGAGTCACGGCCGCTCCTCGCCATCGGTATCTCGATCACCTCTTTCATCTTGTCCGGTGGCCGTGACGCACAGATCTGATAGAGTCGCGTCACAAGTAAGCAGCAATATTAAACAAGACGCCGAATAGATGGAGTGGAGTCCGTGATAGTGGACTGAACGGACAAAAGAGCGGCGAACAAAAGGAACAACATAATGGGGGCACTGGGATAGTGTTAAAAACTTGATCCATGCTGTCCTCTCCTGTCGTCGCTTGAAGGATTCGGAACATGACAACACGGACCGGCAACGCGAAGGAAGCAACGGGCCGATAGCGTTCCCTTACCTGTCAAGGCAAATAGTGGGTATGTTGCGTAAAATCGTTGCCACCATGGTCGACAGGAGAACGGGATGATTGCCATTCAGCTGCTTTCGGGTCATCCGCAACCGAATAAGCTTAATCGCGTGCAGCGAATGCATTGGCGATCTCAGCGCAAGCGAAGTAGAGCCGTCTATCTTGGTTCGTTCCACCATGCCAAAATACGGGGTCAAGTCCATGTGAGTGACTCGAAGTAGACAAGACGAGGCTGCTCGCAACGCTGAAACCTTCTAGGCCAGGCACGAATCCACAGTGCCAAGCTTGCATACCACGCGCCTTAATCATATCCCGCGCAACCCGCAGCGCCTGCACTTAGGGGAATAAAACCAACCCGGCTCCACTCGACTAAGGAACGGCAGTCATCTCCCGCCTTGTTTTGGACGCAGGGGGCCCAAAGGAGTAGTCAACCCGCCAATCTCAAAATACCTACTTTGCATCTTCTCTTCTCTCTCTCGCCGAGTTCATGGTCTGCAAGATTTGTCGGGGTGTAGTCGGCGAGATGATTTCTCGGCTGCATCTCA